GAGCTCAGTACCTCGCCTACATCCACCAGCGTGGGAGCTAGAACTCGACAGGCCAACCAGGCTTGGCTTTGTGGCCTAGCCTTTCTACTGCCGAGGCTGTTGGAGGACCAACACTATCTGGAGGTGTAGTGTGGCAGGGAAGTGTTGGGCACAAGTGCAGGGCAGACCTGTAAGTCCAGCTGGTGGGGTAACATAAAACACTCTGCGGAATTACCATGTACCCCTATGCACAGAGCATGCACACATGCATAATTTCAGATCCGTGCACATGCACTCATTGCAAAGGGGTTTACGTACCATGTGGGAGGGAAGAAAGCACAGGTCTATAATTTCAGGTAAGATAACTCAACTGTAGTAGGCAGGCTTCTCCAGAGAAAGAGATCAAATATATATGTAAAGATTTACTTCAGGGCTTGGCTCATTTAGTTGTAAAGTCTGGCACATCCCATGGAGACCCAGGACAACTAGTGACATAACTCACTGCAATCTAGACATCAGCCAATTGAGGAGCTGATAGTATAAGGACTGGCCTGACCCCAAAGGCCATCAACCAGGAGCAGCCAGGCTCAGGACAGAAGAGGAGGGGATGCCGCAGCTCACTACATAGCAATATCACCCCTCTTCTCCCTGTTTGTCGGGCTCAGGCCCTGGGTGGCCTGAGGCACCCACCCATCCATCCGCCACCCATCCATCCATCTCTGTCCCCCTGGGGAAGGCCATCTCCAAGGCGGGGCTGACCTCTTCTGGATGCAGCTTCACAGAGATGCAGAAGTAAGGTTCAATCAGTGAACTGGATGCCCTGTTGGTTGGCACCTAGAATTCGTCGACATATGTTGACTTGGGGAATTTAAAAGTTCTTTCTCTAGGGTAGATCTGAAGCCTAAGGGTAGAGTCTCACCAAAGAAGCGCCTTGGGGAGAGACTTTAAAACTTTTGCTGAGCCCTAGAGACATGCTTGCAGGTAGCTGTGCTGGGAAGTGACAGTTTTGTTTTCCACCTGGCCTGTCCTTGGCACTGCTCTGAGAGGTGGCACCTGTCTCTCTCATGTCTGTAGGATGCTGTGAGTGAGGGAACTGGGAGGCTGGGCCATTTCTTGCACCCACACAGGAATGGCTTTGGTAATTCATGAAAGACACACACAGACCAGGTCAGGAAAGAATGCGCTGCTCTTGGTGCCTCCAAGGAGCCCGGCTGCAGCAGAAGCAGGCCATGCCCAACTTCCCAGGCATAGCACAGTGCTCACAAATCCATCCAGGGCCACCACACTCTATCCAAAGCTGGGGACAAACTGCTGAATGGACCAAAGCCCACGTCATCACTGCGTTACCCTGAACAAGCCCTTTTCTACCACAGCTGCTGGCACGGGGCCACTCCCACTCCTGTGTTTCATTTATTTTTTGATACCAAGAATTGAACTCAGGACCTTGCACTTGCCAGGCAGGCACTTGTGCCACTGAGCTACATCCCCAGCCCTCCTCCTTTGTTTTAAGACATCTTCTGCAGTTACGCATATCTAAGGTATATATGCAGCTGTTCAAAGAGCCAAATGTCCTGCAAACGTACAGCACAGTGACAATTCCTACTGCTTGCTCTCCTATTCAGCCTTTTCTCTGGAAATCACTCATCCATCCATCCATCTGCCTGTCCATCCATCCGTCCATCCATCTGTCCGTCAGTCCATCCATCCATCCATCCATCCATCCATCCATCCATCCATCTGCTTGTCCATCTGTCTGTCTGTCCATCCATCTTTCCATCCATCTATCCATCCATCCACCCATCCATCTACCCATCTATCTATCCATCCATCCATCCATCCATCCATCCATCCATCCATCCATCCATCTGCTTGTCCATCTGTCTGTCCATCCATCTTTCCATCCATCTATCCATCCATCCACCCATCCATCTACCCATCTATCCATCTATCCATCCATCCATCCATCCATCCATCCATCCATCCATCCATCCATCTGCCTGTCTGTCTGTCCGTCCACCCATCCATCCGTCCGTCCATCCATCCATCCATCCATCCATCCATCCATCCATCCATCCATCTGCATGTCCGTCTGTCCATCCATCCATCCATCCATCCATCCATCCATCCATCCATCTGTCCATCCTTCCATCCATCCATCCATCCATCCACCCATCCATCTATCCATCCATCTGTCCACCTATCCATCCACCCATTTATCCATCTGTCTGTCCATCCATCGATCCATCCATCGATCCATCGATCCATCGATCCATCGATCCATCCATCCATCCATCCATCCATCCATCCACATATCCCTTTCATATCATAAATTTGATGTTTCTTCCATGTCTCTACACGATAGACTCATTTCCCTCTCACAGTTTAGTTTCAGGCTCTCTGTTGTCTCCTATCATGAAGGCTGGAGACAGCCTTCTCCACAGCCTCCAGGCGACATGTCTGTCATCCCCTCGTCCGTGTTCTCCAGGGAGTACTGCCTTACTTGGAAAGATGAGTTTTCAGGTAATTAATTAGGTATTATATGCAGAGATGACCCGACCCATGCAGTGAGCTGCACGGTACATGATGTCTTGTATATTTTCACTCCCTAGAATTAATAATTGTCTTCATTTTTGTTGTTGAGGTCTTCAAAGGAATTTCTCGTTTTAACTCAACTCCAGATCCTTTGCCAACTAAATGAGTCTCCTTTGAAAGCCAGATCCCCCAAGAGTCCCACCAGCTTGCTCTTCCTGGGAGGGTCCTGGGGGTCTTCTATGCTACCCAGTCCACATGCTGACATCAGACTCCCCTCAGCACTCCCCCAGAACCTGCCATGTCTTTTTGTCGCTGGAGTTGCAGCTTTCTTGATCTTTCTCTTCCTCTTCCTTGGCTGACTCTTCATTTGCAGGTCCACCTGTTTTTCTTGGACTGAGAGATGGTGTACAGAAGGCACGGATTTGGAGACAAGGAGCTCTGAAAATGCACATTCCTGCTACCGATTAACAGGTCTGTGCCACCTTCCAGCATTTGACCATGCCAACCATTCCCAATCCGTCTACCTTTGCAGCCACTGGGTCTCCCTGGAAGCTATGGCACAGGAAGCTTGCTTGCGGTGCTTCCAATCCTAGCTATGCCTCTCAGCCCTGAAAAGGGATTTTCAATCTGGATGATCCTGTGATTCAGGTTAGGGAGATTTTCTTTAATTACTTCATTAATGACTTCTTCCTCTGTGTCTTCTTTCCTTCTGATGCTGTTAAAATTTGTGCACTATGACCTTAATTTCCTTCTATCTTTCTCTGTACTTCTTGTCTTTTCCTTGTGTTTTATGGAAGAGTATAGAAACTTTATCTTCCAACATAGCTTTACAGTTTTTCATTTCTGGTTTTGCACTTTTAATAGTTTTGTTTGCTCACTGAATTTAAAAAGTGCCATTTTATATTGGCAAAATCTCTTTTCCCTCTGAGAATACCAATCATAGTTATTTTAATGTTCTCAGAACCTCTGTTTATTTCCAGCTCTTTTGCCTTGAGGTTAGACTCCCTGGATGTTTTTGGTCCTTGGTAGCTACTGGCCCAGCTCGCAGTGGGTAATAAATGTGGGGCTAGAAGCTGTCATGGGCAACTGCTGCATCACAGTCCCTTGGCATGGCTCAGAGCATTCCCAGGGAAAGAGCTCACATTTCCTGGAGGATGCAGGCCCACCGGCGCCTTTCCCTGACCCAGCTGGGACTGGGGGCGTGAGGTCGGCATCCGCAATTTCTATAGGTTTAGATGACCTTGTGGCATCTGGTGCAGGATCCAGCCCAGCAGGGACGATGCCTTTGAGCTAGGACACCCTCCGTCACTCTCCTTGGGGACCAACCTTCGGTCTCTTTCCTGGGCCCAGAGGGCAGCCAGTAGTGATGCTGAGCAGAGCAAGAGGCCTGGGCTTTTGGAACTTCTTAGGGGCTTTCAGCCAGTTCACCTTCCCACAGCCTGGTTTTCAGTCCTCTCCCTCCCAGTTAAACTGCTGTCCATCCGCAAGCCTGGGGGGGGGCTGTTAGTGTCTACCAGTCTCAGCTCCCCCAACAGTAATTTAAAGTTCAGTTTCTGGATCTGCGTGCCCTGCGCCACTCATCACTCCAGAGCTTCCATCTCCTAATGCGCAACAGTCGCTATTCAGTGTTCCGCACCCTCAGGAGCCGAACTGCTGGGAACAATTTTATTTGAAAGGGGGAAAATACAGAGGGGTGTATGTGTGTATGTATGTGTGTGTGTGTGCACATGTGTGCATGCATACATGTGTGTGCACACGTGTGTATGCATGCATGTGTGTGTGCGTGCTTGTGCATGTGTGCTTAATCTGCCTTCTTCGCCTAGAAGTTTAAGTCTTTATCTTTTCCAAGACTCCAAGAAATTTATATCAGAAGCAGATCAGGCGGACATAGCGCAAGACCGCCGGTGGACACGCATGGAGCCCTTGCCTCAGCCCTGCCTGTGACCGGGGAGAAGACCTCAGGGCGAGGCCCAGCTGCTGCTCTGGGCCAACGCACTTTGCTCACCATGTGGGATGCAGCACCACTGGGCACAGGCAGGAAGACGGCACAGTTCCCAAGGAGGAGGAGCAGAAGCACAAGTTTTATCCAAAGCCCAGAACCAGCATGGAGCTGCAGCCAAAGAAATCCTCCAAGGGCGCAACACCAGGGGAAGGGAGGGTAGAGAGCAGTAGCCCTCATGTTCCCGGCCCACAAGCCCGGCGATGTCTCGGTAGCCCTGCTGCCCCAGGACCAGCGGGACAGCCCATCCCACACGTCCTGGTGTGAAAGGCACAGCCAACGCCGGCCCTGCCCCTGGCCCTGACAGTTCTCCTCCACCCAGGCAGAAGGGTGGTGTCTGTCTGCAGAGAATGTAAAGGCAATAAGGAAGCTTTCCTGCTTTTTATTGTCCCCAGGCACAGCCACCTCAGTGTCAGAGACAAAGTCTTCCCCTTGCCACACCAGCCCTCCCCCCGTGAGTGCCCCGTCCGCCACACCCCCGCACTGGTACCTGTGGATGATGTGGCACTGCTGCAGGTACTCCAGGGCCAGCGCCAGCTCGCAGAGGTAGAGCTTCACTGTGCCCTCGGTGAAGTGCACGTTCTGCTGCAGGTGGTAGCGAAGGTCCCCGCCCAGCAGCAGGTCCACCACCATGAACATGTCCTCTTCGTCCTGGAAGGAGTACCTAGGAGCATGGGGGACAGAAGTTAGGGAGGGGCCCTCAGCATCGTGAAGAACAAAGCTCCCGTACAGCAGAAGAGTGAACGGAGGCCAGAGAGAGGCACTGGTGTCGCCGAGGTCACAGAGTTTTGGTGTAGGAGGAGGAAGAGGCCTTCAATTCCTTGTCCCCTGCACATCTTCAGTGTCCTTACCCTCAGCATGGGGAAACAAACAGGGTCCCTGGCATTGGTCCCAGGCTCTGGCAGGCTTGTTTACTTCAGATATCACAGATATGACCCAGAGCCTTCACACTGAGTTCCATCCTGGCCCTTTTCATTTTTTATTTTGGGTAAGGCCTAAGTCACTGCATTGCCCAGACTCTAACCTGCAGTCTTCTTGGCTCTGCCTCGCAGAGGATGACGGGTGTACGTCACCACATCTGGCTGACAGACAAGTTTTAATTGGTGCTGGGCTCTAACACATGCCTTCAGCTGTCTTCAACAGCTGCTGTGGTTCTTCATGGCTATAATTTGTACCTAGAAATTATGCTCTTGTCCCCCACCTGGAGCTCTGCTAGGAGGTGTTGGACTCCTTGGGGTGGTGGGGAGGGGATAGCAGGAGGAAGTGAGGTCACGGGGGGCAGGGTCAAAGTGGACACTTAGGCCCGTCCCCTTCCTGCTTTGCTTCCTGGAGGCCATGAGGTGATGAGCCTCCGGTACCCACATACCTGCACCAGGACATACCACTGCGCCAGGCCCAGGCAGCAGGCTATGTGGCCACAAACTCAGACCTGAGACCTCAGAATAAAGCTTGTCCCCAGTGAGTCGATTGCCTCAGGTAATTGGTCACAGCGATGGGGTGCTCACTGTCCTGAGGTTGTAGTGTCTGACAGTGCATCCTCCCCTCCTGTCCCTGTGATTGGTCTACACTGCTGCCCTTTCCCCACACTTGGAGTTTGCTCCTGGAGGCCCTCAAGGACATCCAGGTCCAGGCACTGAGAGAACGGCTGGACCCCAAGCCACAGGGAGAGGCCTGGGGAGGGAAACGGAGCTGCTCCGGCTGACAAGTCCAGCCAGGCTCCCCAGGACACCCGGCCTTGGTGGCTGGCTGTGCGAGCACCGCGGACTTTCCTCTGCGGATGCCTGACCTCATGTGGGGCAGAACCAGCCAGTGGAGCCCAGCCAACCTCAGAACATGAGATGGAAACTCTTGGTGTTCCTGAGCCTCTATGTTTTAGGATGTGTATTTAATTTTCTCTGCTGTTTCTGACTGAAAACTGGATACAATACTGAATTTACCTTAAAAAAATCTGTGAATGGACTGAGCTTCTGAAGGACGTGAGGAGCTGGCACACAGAATCTGAAATGCTGGTGAGCAGTGGTAGAGTAGCGTCTGACATCACAAGACACTGTGGTGTTCCTTATGGATTCATGAACTGTAACCAGGGAATCCTACAGTGGGTTACAGGATGGGGTCTGGGCCTGGGACCTGCACTTCACACCTCCAAGTATCACTGCCACATTATTCTCCTCATTCAATAGAAGAATGTACAGAGGTCCAGAGGGACTCGGGGTTTGAGGTCACTGTCAGGCCGGGGATAAGAACTCCAGAACCCCATGACCACACTTCTGGATGTCATTGTGCATGTAACGTGCTTCGGTGACCTTGGCCAGCAGCACCTGGGAGGGGGCTGGACCCATGATCCAGGCACAAGAGACGTGATAAACTACCTGCAAGTGGGTTGGAAGGACATTAAATGTCATCCAGCCCTGAAGCCTCTTGTGACAAGGACTTGAGGTTGGCGGGGGGCTGCATGGTTCTCCTTGTCCAGCTCCTTGCTGCTTCTAGTTGTCTGGGATAAATACCAGGAAGAGGGATCTTTGTTTTGTCCCCAAATCATGAGTTTGTCAGCTGTTTACTCAGCACCTACTTGTGACAGGTACTGGGCTCCGCTGGAGGGACAGGGACAAAGACACAGTCCTTGGCTTGAAGATGCACACAGCCCCTGGATGAAGAGGACTAGGGTCGCAGTGGCTGGCCCCCAGGGTGCAGCTCCAGTAGGATGTGGTGGGGAGGGAGTCAGTCCTAGGTGGGGGGAGGGGAGCTCTATCATTGGACAAAGGAAGGGGCATGGCCCGTCAGGCACACATTGGGCCATGAGTGCTGAGCCACCTTAGGGAGTCACTGTGCTGCTATGGATGAGCAAGAACAAGGTGAGGTTCAGTCCATTCGTGGAGAGGACAGCCGAGAACAGGCAGACTGGGGGACAGGTCTCCTCTGGAGGTGGCTGCCAAGTGCATGAGGACCCAGAGGGCTGGGCTGCGCTTGCCAGGCGGCTCCCTGTTCTCTCCCAACATATACCTGTCTCCCAATATGTGCCTGCTACTGGGTCCAAGATGCCATTTCTAGAAGTTTGAGTAAGAAAATTTTTGTTTGCCTAGTGTTATGGCTTATGCCTGGAGGTCCCCCCAACGCCTCATGAATCATAGGTGGGACTCTTCCAGTGACACTGGGATTGATTCATGGTGCAGTGCCAGGCTCAAGGGCACTTCGACTAAAGGTGTGAGTAGTGCCCACCCTGAGTACCCTGGCTAAGTTAGAAAGCATAGAAGGGGCTGTGGTCAGTCTGCCCGCCATGAAGCCATGAACTGCTCTCTGCGACCTGTCTGCCACGCCACTCTACATTGGAGCCAGCTGACTACAGACTGAAACCTTTACAAACTGAGCTCCATGAGCCTTTGACTTTGGTGCCAGGGTATTTTGTGTCAGCAAGGAGAGGAGAGTACCTAAGACCCCTAGAAAGCACTGAGTTTTAAATTCTTTTATATAATCAAAAATTTTGTGATATCAAGAATTTAAAAGCATAGACAAAATTATATTCTAACTTTTATACTGTTTCTCAGATCTATGTGCTGGTCACTGGAACATTCATTCATTCATTCATTCATTCATTCAACAAATACAGCATTTCCACGCGCAGGCATGGGACAGGCCATGTAGGGTGGCAGCAGCCTATCAGGTGGGCCCTTTTCAGGACACTTAGCTCATCAGGGAGGAAACATGCTCCATCAGAGTGACACGAGCCATGAAGAAATGAAGTCATTAGACAGACGCATGAGCCGAGACTGCTGCACGAGGCTGGGGATGGCAAGCATAGTCGGGCAGTGTTTGGCTGGAGGGACACAGTGCAAAGGCACCGCAGCTGGACAAAGCCGAGAGTCCCACAGCACCAAAGGAGGAGCCAGGGTGTCCTGGATGGGAGGTCATCATGGCCTAGGGCTAAGCGGGACCCTGGGCCAAGTGCTCCAGGGTGAACACCCCCAGCCCCCTCATGCTGCAACTTAATCCCAGGGGAGAGCAGTAAGAGGTGGGGCCAGCTGGTGCGTTGAGAAGTGACGGGGTCATAGCTCTGCCTTCACACATGAATGTTTTGAATTGGTGGATTAGAGGACTAGTGGATTAGCCACGTGGGGTGGCTTTATTATGACAGCAGTTCCCTCTGGAGCCCTTGCTCTGTCTCTCCAAGTGATGCCCCTGCTCTGTTGTGACCCAGCAGCCAAGCCCTCAGCAGAGGCCCAGGAGATGCTGCTGATGCGCTCTCCGACTGTGTTCCTGGATTTCCAGAATAAGCTTCTTCTGGGGGAGATAAATTTCCTGACTGTGGCATTCAGTTATTGCAGAAAATGAACTAAGACACAAAAGGAAAGACTTCGAGTTCCACGTTGGGTAATGTGGAAAATCAGCAGAGTGACCTGCGCTGCCTGGTCTTTCCCAAAGATCTCTCTGGACGCAGGCGGAGACTGGGCATGATAGGACACCAGAGCAAAGGAACCGGCTCCCTGCAGGAGGGCTGGGGCTGGGAGCCCAGGGCTCTGTGGTGCCTGGGGTACAGCTCCTTCTGCCCCCCACCCAGGGTCTTAGTCACTGCTCACCTGAGCGTGGTGACCCGGGGCACGTGTGGTCCTGTCTGAGCCTCACTATAGAGCTGGGATGCCAGGCACAGGCAGGAGACAGGTGGACCACGAAGCCTGATGGGGGACCCGTACCCTCTGGAGGGCACCAGCTGGGTCTAGCTCGGTTTCAGGCCATGGACAGCCTTGGTCTGTCAGTGACTGCTGCACTGCTGGAGCTCTCAGGGGTCGGATGTCTGCACCGAGCCCTGCAGGCTGGCGGTACGGATCTTTTCCAGGCACGATGGTGTCTATTTGCCAGTCAGTTAATGAACCTGGAATCCAGCAGGAACAGATAGGAATTCAGACAAGCAGACTTGTCACATTGGAGCTCGGGAGTGAGATTGTTGACATCCTTGACAGCTAATACGACAAACAGTCCTCTATAATCTTCTTCAGTCTCGTTTTAGCCATCTGTGTGCCTTTTCTCTTCTATCCAGTTCTAAAATAAACATGCAATCTCTTGAAAAACTGCTCTGGCTTTTGTTGGACTTACACCGAATTCACAGCTAAATGCGAAGACATTCTCAGCGCTCAATCTTTTTAACCGTGAACTCAGAATATCGATGTGTTCTGGTCTTTAATGTTTATCAAAACTTTTATAAAATTTCATATTTAATGGTTCAGCAAATGTATAGTTTTATCCTGAGATTTTAAAAGTAGCTTTTATTGCTACTATATCTATAGTCCTTAAACATGGTTTCCTAACTGGTCATTGAAGAAATAAAGTGGAACTCTGAAATCACGGGTCTTTATCTTCCATCCAGGTACTTGATTAATCCCTTCATTATTATCCCTAATGCCTTGCTCGGAAGCTCCAGGCTTACTACGTGAAGATGTCTACAAGACATGCCATATATTCAAATATTTATTCCTACATGTGTTTCTGATCTTGTATCAGTATTGGAAGCTTCCAATAAAACATTGACTACAAGAGGTAGTAGTGGGCACACTGATCTTGTATTGAACTTGAATAAACTAGTATTTTATTATTAAGCAAATTGTTTGCTATATTTGGTGAGTGCCATTTATCTAGATAACAAAGTTCTTTCCCTACTTCTAAGAACTTTTTTTT